TCGGTGAACGCGCGAGAAGAAAAAAGAGGTGAGAGGAGACTGGTTGGTCCATTTCGATAATTGGAATGAGGACGACAAGGAAATGCTGTCACCAGTCAGGAGAGAAAAAAAGGAGATGCAGAAGAAAAACTCGATTCGCGTTCTTCAGAAAAAGAGAGAGAGAGAGAAAAAAAATGTGTATATACCGAATCAGGTCAACAGCACGTTCCACCCAACAAATCTCATTGCATTCATTTTCCCGTAATTCGAGCAAACTCGTCTTCTCGTCGTCATATATATATAAATATAATATAGAAGACAAGATGAGAAAAAGAAGACGCATGCAACGCGTTATCTAAAGGTTTTCAATCACATACATAGTCTGCGCCTGGTTGACACATATTAGCATTGCTAATCGACGTACGCATTCATTGCTTGTCTTCACTCTTTTTCTCTACACACCGAGAAAAACTCTCGAATAAAAAAAAAGAAAAAGAAAAACGGCAACAATCTTCTCCTCTTTAGCTCGTTGTCTGTCGGTGCTTGCACACATCGGCACACACTCTCATTTCCGTAGTTCAACGGGAATAGACGAACGATGATGCATCGGAAAACGAGAGTAGGCTAAGACGCACACACATACACACATAGCACATCGTCGGAGAAAAAAATGTCAAGAAAAATTTGCTAATTCCATAGGAATGGTATACGCATAAGAGAAGAAAAAACTTATTTGTAATCTCGTGAGCCAAAAAAGATTGTAGAAAAAAAATATATACTTAATAAGAAAATCAATATTTAATGTTTCTTCTTTCTTTTTGTTTCTTTCGCATTAATTTAATTAGATTTAAATTCATTTTTGTTTTAAATTGTATATGGAAAAATGTATTTGTTTTCGACGAAAAAAAAAGCAATACTTTTACTTGATTCAATATCTTGGCATTGAAAACATTAGAAATATAATTTCTGATAATAAGATTTATATACACTTGAATCAATTGTTTTTTTCGTAAGTTTCCTATGAATTATTCTTTACATACCTTGCCAGTCAGTTACTATTATGGTCTTGTACATCGATGTGTGCAGTCAGGGAAAACAGACAGATAAATAGACACACCGTCAAAAAAAGAGAATTGTAGAATGTCAGTAATAACAAGCGATGCTATGCTACGAACGCATTTTGTTTGCTATCTATATTCTTTCTCTCTTTACCGTTCTTCTTCTTCGTCGACGACGATGATGATGATGATGGGTATACCGCGTTGCAAACGAATGCCAGGAGGATAATATTCTACCTTCGGCACACACGAAAGAAGCTGCTGATATGTGCATATGTATATCTTGCCCCTGTTCTGATGATGATGCTACTGAAATGAAACGTGTGCTACGTAGGAGTGGTACATTACAATGAGACGTGAGAGAAGAGAAGAGAGAGAGAGAGAGCGAAAAAGACAGGGGAAAAAACCTAGAAAGAAAAGCATAAACATACAAACACACACACACTACTCTAGCACCAATCATCGAACGTTTTCATTCTGTTCTGCTCACCTCTCATAGGTGCGCATGAAGCAGCACTAAGAAGAAGAGAAAAAAAACGAGAAAAGTAGAAATGGCTGTTCTTCATCGATATCTCTCTTTCTCTCTCTCTCGTTCTGGCTTTCGTATACACACCTCTTATCAGCTATGTAGTCGTTTTTTTCTTCTTCTTATATATACACGTGCCTGATTATCGTCACCTCTTCTCTGTGCATATTCTGATGTGTTGTTTTTGATGGGTAACCTCATTACGTGCATATAGTCTAGATTGTCGAAAAAGAAATAGAAGGAAAATCACACGTTTAGTATAAGGATTTTTTTTTAATGTATACTGTCGCGCATTGTACATGTGTGCTGCAGCATATACAACTTACACCGTATCTAACATGAAAAGTATGTATTGCGGAGTATGAAAAAAAAGAGGCGGCACAAAATGTGTGTATATGTTTGTTACTGCTGCTTATTTATGCGTGTGCGATGTGGAGTTTGGCTCTTCTTCTGTTTTTTTTCCCTTATTACAACTTGATGAGTAAAAAATATGCTCTACCGATCGAGTTTCTCTCTTCCCTCTACTCGTCCTGTTCTTCATATTAATCTATTTCGTAGTACCGTTTTCTTGCTTTATGCCATTTTCTTTTCAACACCTGGTGCCGCTTTGAAACAACACGAAACCTTATTATTATTATTATTATTCTTTCATTACATCACTCATACCTTTTTCCCAATTCTAGGGATGCAACAATTATCGTATGTCCTATTTTGTTCTTAGCAATATTTATTTTTCTTAAAGAGAGAAGTCGTCTAGTATTTCGTTTACTTTATAATTGAAAGATGATGAGATGGCAGATGCATATATACGTATAGGGGCATCCCAAGATAGATAGAAGAAGAACAAGACGAAGAATAGAAAGAAGAAGAATATACCGGTGGTGATGGCATTTGCAGAAGAAGAAGAGATAAACAAACATACCTCTTCTTTCCTTTCCCATACGAACGATAATGGATTTGTGTACCTTCTTTAACCTCCAGGAGCATCTCGGTGGAACGCAAACATTATCAAGCAGTCAGGCATCGAAGAGAGTGAGAGAAGAAAATTTGTAGATAATCGAGGGGAGCATACATATATACACACTTGTCATACAGGTGTTGACGGTCTCAAGCATTGAATTTTGTTGATGAGGGATAGGCGAAAGTTGAACAACGACGATATCTCCTGCAAGGTATATATATATATATATTTACATATATGTATATACAATCAAATCGATCCTATACCAATTGAACATTTATACATAAATATACACATATACGTATACTGATAACTAACATACGGACATAGAATGTATTTAACCTGATTTGTCTTTATATGGAGTGAAGAAAAAAAAAAAGAAAATCAATAGTATAATAAAGAGACAACCTTCGCTTACCTTGTGTTACACGATGTCATCATCATTGCAACCTGTTGTGCTACTAGTTTGTGTCCTTTTTTTCTCCATACTCGATAGGTATATGTAACAGCTTGTTAGAAACTTTTCGTCTTTTTTCTTCTTCTTTTCTTTTATCATCACCATTCGTTTCTGACGTTTCTTTTTGTCTATGTGTTCCCATTTTTCTATTCAAAAATTCCGGTATGAAAAAAAAATAATGAATAGTTTGAGTATTTATTGATGTTGTCTACGTGATCGGTTAAGATCAGAAAACTAACAAAAGCCATTACTAGAGCTATAATTGCAATTTATACTATCATGGCAACACATCTTCAATGTGAATCCGCTTGTGCGATCTATTGTTAAGATAATATATCTATATGTATATATATGTATATATATATATATGACGGACGGAGTCAGACAGAACACCTCATTGTCGTTTTGATGACGAATAGAAAAAAGGAAGACAAGACGATTGGATTACAATTAACGATAATGGCGTTGAGAGCGTGACACACATGTATACAGAGGCCCTACTTGTACTCATTCACAATATAGCAAGCTTTCCTCTTGAATCTTTGTGAACAATAGATGTGTTTATATTCGTTCTAGACGATCAATGATGCATGATTTCAGTAGCGTAGCCAGAATAGAAAAGAGACATAAGGAAGATTCATTGTTGCATCTTTATCTTTTTTGTTTTGTTTTGAGGACGTAGAAAGAGAAAAAAATTAGATTTTTTTCCTTCTATCTAACAATCACCACAGGAGTTTTCTCTTATTCTATTCGGAAACGCTCTTCTCAATTAAACTATTGATTGTATTCGTCTACGTAGACATCATGGGTGAGTGTCTATCGTTGATCGAACAAGAGAAGAGAAAGGCGGAGTCTGCAACTACTACTTGTTGTCGTATGGCGTACAATATCTAGTTAAACATACACAGTCACTCGATGCTAAACTAATTGGATAACGAACAAGAAGGGGTACAACCCTTGTCCCACCTGTTGTCCAATTTGTTGTTATTTCTATACTTTAAAACAAGATGTAAAAGTAGGTCACCGAAAAAAATCTATCAGTAATTCATTTCCGATTTAGCGGCACCCATCTTTTGTCTATATTTAAAAAAAACTGCTGTTTTCTTTTATTCTCTACCTTATTTTCTTGATGAAATTGCGCACACTTGAACTCTTCCTGTTTCCTAAACACGAAGACGCATCATTTACAGGATTAGAAGATCGAAGATATATTGTTCACGTGTCAATATAATTGACACATCCGGAAGAGAAAACAGCAGTCACATATTTATGTGAAAAAAGCTGCATTTTAATAAACGAAATAAAAACATACACAGCAAGAAAATCAAATTGATTGATCATTTCAAATATTTATATCATTGTCAAACAGAAATCTCCTTCTGCTCATTGTTGACAAAGTTCATGCATAAATGTATTTGTGTGTGTGTGTGTGTGTGTGTATGTCTGTGGTGAATCTCATGATCCCAATTAGAATACAAGAGCAATTAAAATTAGAATCTCTAGACGCGTGTGCTCATCCCGTGATGGGATAATGGCCTGATTGAGGTGTCGTTATACGTATATATCTACGTCTGTCCCTTGATAATTTTGTTCAACAGTAAACTCATTTGTGTGTGTGTCTCTTTCTGATAAGAGTTGACTTATCAATACACACACACACACACTCGTTGCCTATCAAATTGTCACCGTTCATTCAATTCTATCTTGTTCAAAACTTAATTATTTACGAATGAACGACGAAAGAAGGAGGTGCAAGAACATGCAAACTTATCGAAGAAAATTGAAATTGAATGTAGAAGATACTAATTGTAACAATGCCCACATGTTCGCTTGAAAATTTGCAATTAACAGTTTTAATTCTTTTTTTTCTTCCTTCTCTTGTTCAGATTAGAAATTTACTATATCCTATGCGTATTTATATATATATATATATATATTTTAGTTTCAACAGACATACACAAGAAGTAATGAAATAAATAAAAAGAGAAAAAATACAATTTTCAACAAAAATATATTTGATCACTGCCAATGAAAACCACCAGCACCTAAACCTGCATTGCCACCGACAACATCAGGATGTGCTTCATTTTCATGCGCACGATGAGATCCTTCATCCAATAGCCAACATCTATAGAAGAAACAAAAAAACATATCTATAAAAAGTATTCATTGAAAATATACATACAGAAATTGAGGCGTTTTTAACACACGAAAACCACCTGCTTGACGTGGAAATATATCTTCAAGAAAGTAATAAATATGACCCACAATAATACCCATCAAATCAAAAATAACTGAATTTCCTAGTAGAAGTGAAAATGCAAATAGTACCCAAGGTAAAAATGGTGCTTGAAAATTAAGTAAACCAAAAAAATTCATCCTAAATAATAAACACAATAGATAATTAGAAGAAAACAGAACAGTTTTTTTTCTTCACACAAACCTAACATACGGATTTCGACGACTCCAAATATATACTAGCATGATAGTTAATGCTGAACCAAGAAAAACAATATTAACAAATAATGCCATTACTATCATTAATATTCCACCAAATAGAAACATAAAAAGAAAGTCTGCAGAACGTCCACGAAATGAGCCTTCTTCAAGATGACGACAATATCGATAAGTAAATAATAAGTTAAAGAAAAAGTTGAAACCAATTCCACCATAAAAACAAAAACAAGTTATTAATCTCCATAACTATATGAACAAAAAAAAGAGACAATATTTGTCTTCTAGTTCAGTATATTTGATATTTTTTATTACTTGAAATTTCTTAAAAATAAGTTCTGGATTAAAGTAAAGTTGATAAGCCGTCACAAAATCCAATTGCTAAATAAATAAAAAAAAAAAAAAGGAAAAAGCAATAACCAATCAATCAATCAATGCACATTTTTTGTCTTTCCGGCAGATGAATTACATTCTGTTAATCGTTTTATTTTGATTTTGATTTTTAAACTTTGATTTATTGTTAAATAAAAGACAAGCATGTCTCTATTTTCGCTTTAATGTATTAGAGAGGCGGATTGATTACACACCTGATATCGTATTTATGGTTGATTAGATCTCTTTTTTTTCTTCTTCTTCTCATCTGCATAACGATGCTATTACTTTATATTTCCTGCTGCCGACTGAATGATGCCACGCTTCAACACCCGTTCGAGATATGAAATACACGAGCGGTGCACATCCGCATCTGCTCATTCGTACCATCAATATCGCACGTTCAATGATGTTTGTTCAACGAATTTCCGTTTATAAAATAAATGATCTAGGCTTTATTGTTAACTTTAATTATGAACATACATATAGACAAATTTACTTCTATATGATAGGTTTCATTTAAAAAAAAAGAGAGTGTGTAGACAAGAAGGATGAGTACAAATAAATAGGATGTGCTTCGGTACTTATTGACGATTGTTCAAGTGGCCTTTCTTTCTATTTACCTCTTCACATAAGTGACGATAGCTCAAGGCAACCTTACATCCTAAGCAACCAGCCATCTGCCATCTTAAACTAAAAGAGTGAAAAAGATTGGCAAGGAAAAGAAACTAGCTAAAGGGATTATTGAATGAATGTATATAAAGAGGAAAAAGAATCACTTTAATAGAAAACATAACTCGAGATTCATCAGTGGAAGTAACGGTACTACTAAATCAATCTATGCCATGTGACAGTTGTTCTAATTACAAAAATATCACACATTCAGTCTTTTTATCATAGTCCGACACCTGACAAATTACGACATCGATCAATTACTTCATCTTTTTTTTCTCTCTCTTTCCTATCCGATTATACATGAACAATTGAGCTTTGTAATTGAGATATAGCAGAAATTGACGAGCAGGTTGTGCGAATTAACAGGGCGGAATAATGATATGAGAAATTTATATGAAAAAAAAAAAAGAAAGAAAGATGCTTTACTCACTACTGCGAGTGTTGTTAAAAGGCATGTGGTTGTGTAGGCCCGTGTAATGGGTGGAATAGCAAAATATTCTTGTTGAAATGCCATGGAATATATTCAAAATTTAATATTTGATCATCAGAAGTTGTGTATTAAGCATAACTATCTAAAATAGCAAGAAATAATATGAAATTATTTTCCCGAAACTTAAATAAAAATCAAATCAAATCCACGTTGCAACGAAACACCTCCAAGCACTGGTGTACCAATCAATCCAAAACAGATCGTTTGAAAAAAGATGTCAGACGTGTCTGCTGCTGGATATTACGAAAATTCAAGAGAAATATTTAATTTTGGCTAAGATAGATACAATAATTTGATTCAATTGTATTTATATAAGTTTCATAGTTAACATAAATTGTTGCGCAACAATAAAATGTTCATCAAATAACATAGGACTATTTGTCAGTGTCTATGAGCATACAGAATAATGTTTTTATATCAATGTTTGACAAATTATTAAAATTTCTATGTATTATTCAATATCATACATTTGAATAACGATCTACATTTTGAATCTCTCTTGGCTTCATATGATTATTACGAGCATGACACAAAAGAAAATAAACCGTTATAAAAAAAATTGGAACTTTTAGTTTGTTGTTTAGATTGAAATTTTTAATGTAAATTGTTCATTTTATTTCCCCTATAAATGAATACGATCTCTTGTTACTTATAAAACGTAGTAACTAGTATGAATGTAGATTTATTAGTAGGTATCTGTAAATTAATATACAGAATAATTTCTAATTTAAAAGAATATTCATTTCATAATTCAATTTCATTTCTTGTCAAATATCAGACTATGTAACTAAAAATTATGATTAAATAAAATTCTATATTTGAGAATATTATCTTACTACATAACTACAATTGTATGATAATAAGTTTTTTTTTTCTTTTATGGATATGTTTATAAAATTATTAAAAAAAACTAGTATTGTTACAATGAATATTTTACTCCCATAATTTTTTTAAGAAACAAACTTCGACACAATTTTTTATTTTGTTAATTGATGATCAGAAACGTGCGAGCTACAAGCGGAGTCACATGTGCGTATATTATACGATGAATCGACATAGGACACAATAAACATAAACAAACGCATACGGTGGCAAAAATTATGAAATAGAATGCTAACAAAAACATATGGATTTTTCTTTGCTAGTTAAACATAATCGAACTTTCTTAGTTTTGTTTTAGCTTATTAATATTTCTTTTAATGCGTAATATAATGCTGTATATATGAACAAATAGGAACAAAAAAAAACGCAGGTCAAATATAGAATAAATCAAAATAGATTGAACGCATGCAAGGGCATCTAGAAAAAAGAAAAAATCACGGGTTACACCAAAAAGAAGATTGGTTCTTCTAAACGTGTATATGTTATATATGTAGTTATTTTTTACCTAAAAACGAAAAAGCGCATTATAATTTAGAAAGTAGTAGGCGTGTGACATTAGTAAACGAAACCAAACAAGAAAGGAATGCAACTATATATCGCCATCGTAAATATTGAGAAAGAAGAAACAAATCGCTCGCATAAACACTCAGACAAACAAAAAGAAAACACATTTACATATGTTGAGAAAAAAAAACATGAAGCACACTCAAATGTTTATAGTTTGTTGTTGTTATTTGTCAGTAAAATATTTTCTAGTAGCCTGAATAACCTGGTGCACCACCATAAGTTGGATACACACCACCAGCTGCAAAAGCTGGTTGTTGATAAACACCCATACCAGGTGCAGTTATCATTAATGGACCTTGAACTAAAAAAGAATATAGGAAGTTTAAGCTCATTATATTTTCTATCATTTCTATTGTTTACCAGTAAAATCAATCGGTTTTTGATCATTCGCTGTTTCATTTTCAGTACGAACGTGATCCGATTGTTCAAGTTTATCAACCTAGATTTTATTTTAAATGACAAATTAAAAAATCTTCAGTGAGTAAGATTGGTGTTTTTACTTTTGTTATATATTCTCGCATTATTTGAATCATATAAGGCATTGCAAAGTCCATAATATTATGACGCCATGCAAGTTCAAGTATAACATCAGGTCGTAAAAGATCATAACATTGAAATAAACATGCACCAAAGCATTCAAATAATTTTTCATCAAGAAACCATGATATTAATTCTTCAGCTATTTCACATTGTCGAGATTCTGATGCATAAGTCATTGAGTCCTTAAGAAAAAAAACAAAGGAAAAGAAAAATTATCAATGTCATTTTACTATACTCATTTGTAATTTACTTTATATAAACGATCTTTTTTACACAATTCAACAGCTTGTTTCCATCGGTTATTTCCCTTGTAGAGATAAGCAGAGATACGACGAAATTCAGTTAATTCATGTTTTTCAAGACGTTGCGCTAATGTGATATTATCAAAATTATCATATGCATCAATTGAATTTCTTAAACCTTGATAATCTTCTTCTTCAATTAATAGATTATTTAGAGCTTCGTTAATAGCTTTATTATTTATATTTTGTACGGAACGTAAATATGGTTTAACTAATGGTAATTGTTTTACTTTGAGGAAATAGTTTACAGCACGTGTATGATCAAGACGTGGTGATAATATTAAAAGTAAATCATTTAATAGCATTGGTTTAAATTCCAGATAAAAATCAATGGATTTATAATATAATTCAATATTTGCTACTTTACTGATTACATCCTTAAAATGATTTTCACGCCAAGCTTCAGATGGATGAGCCATAATTGTTAAAATTGCATTATCATATTCTTCATATTTATCATAAAGAAAAACTAGTTCAGACCAAAGATGTGCTTGTTCACATGCACGAAGTACCTAATGAGAGCAAAAAAAGGAAAGTGATTTATTAATTTTTATTCGAGTATTAGCTAAATATAGTTTACTTTTGGTTTTCTAACACGTGACCAAAATAATTCCAAATGTTCGCGCATTTTTTGTGGTTTATATTTAGAATATAATATAGCTAATTCAGTAAACATGCCAATATGTGCACGTTCATGACCAAGTGACGCTTCAAGCAATTGAATTAATTCTTCAAAATAGCCCCGATTTTGATAATAATTTATTAATTCTTCTAATTCCTCAGCTTGTACAACAATTTGTATACCACACATTTGAGCAAGGCGAAATTCGTCTTTATCAATACAAGCAAAACAAATCTAAATATACAGCGAGAAAAAGAACAAATATGAATTTTCAACATGAATCAAAAATAAAAGCTTACTTCTTTCCATGTTTTAGTTGAATTGGCTTTACGGGCACTATCAACAGCACCTTGATAATCACCCAAATAGCATAATGTAACTGCCAATTTAGCATAATTGGATATATTGTTATAAAGAAGTTTCGCAGCTTCATACATTTCTTGATCGAAACATCGATCACCAACCTAATCAAAAACAAAAGTCTGTACTGTGTGTAACTCATCATAATATTAGAATAACTAGTTCTCACACTAGTCTATCTGTCTGCAGCAATAAAGTTTCAATAAAGTTTCATGCCACATCCTCTTTCTCTCTGATAAGAATAGCAAAACATAGAAATAAAACACTCTGATAATGATTGGTCTGAAATTCATACTGATATCAAATACAATCGAAAAGACACTCATTTCAATGCAGATTTTGAGAGAAATTCAATATGTTAACTAAACTATGAATTTTTGATCTCACACACTGGTGCTTATCAAGCTAGTTTTTCAAAATTGAGTGTATATGAAATCGAACTGAGTAGCGGAAAATGTTTCTACATTGCCGATCTTCTATGGAATCCTTAGAGTAGAAATTAGGGGCGAAATCCTAATAACATCGATAACAGAATTTGAATGAATTTCCGTAGGTAAAATAATGTAACAAGTACATTAAAGCTAAGAGAAAATATTTTTGAAGTAAAGAAGAATCTAATCATTCGGTTTTTGTGACGGTTCTATCAATAATATAATATTTAGTAAGAGAAATTTTGATACTTTCGAAACTTATAATAGCACGATCAGTTCTAAAACATAACCACGACACTTAGAATTCTTAGTTCATTTTTTATAGCATTATTTTGCTCTTTACGCTATGTAGAAAACTTGATAATAAAAGTTATCCGATTATGAAATGATTGTTGTGAAGAATTCACGTTAGTAAAAAATGCTAATTCAAATTATTTCACAGCCTGATATCGCCTATACAAAAATCATTGCTATTGGGTTAAATTTCGAGCATTGAATAAGAAAACATTAGTAGGTTGTGAATATATTCATTATTTCTAAGCCATTTTGGGTTGATTACTAACGGTCAAAGTGTATTTTCGGTTCATCAAGAAAAAAACTTAATTTTGATTTAACTTCAAAGTTTTAAATTTTAACCTGTATTTCGTAATCGTTTAAAATAATAAAATAGATTCATAGAAATTTATTTAGACATTTTTTAATTATCATATATTCCAATGAATTTCTCATCATGTGCATCAGAGCAGGGCCCCATCTGTTTTTCATTCATGAAAGAAGTTAAAAATCAGCTGGTTGATGTATTCAACCGGAGTTTTCTCATCATTTGCACTGATTTAATCATTTTATTTTTGAATTTTTCCTTACCGTTTGAATTTGTGCATGATTGGGTGCTGAAATAAATTCTTCCAGTTCAGCAAGACGATTTGTTTTAGCGTAAGCAAATGCTAATTCAGTTTCAACAAATGTTTCTCTTGCTTTCTTACGAGCCATTTGTAAATATCGAACTAAATCTTCCCAACTTTCTACATGAAACAAAAAAGAAAACATTGGTTTTAATCATTAAAAACAATATTAATTTTACGATTTTGCGAGGCAACATTAACAACTTCAAGGTATGATGTTGGATCATCAGCTTTAATAAATGAATCAATAGCTTCTTTAACTAAGCCTTGACGTATTTGAGCATTAGCTAATAAACTCCATACACCAGGTTCATTGCAACGTTCAGCAAATTCATAAGCTCGATCCAAATTTTTAATATGATCAATGAGTACTTGAATAGCTGATGTATTAACTTCAAATTTTTTATAAATTGAAAAAGCTTCTTCATATAATTGATTACTGATAGCAATATTTGCTATATCAGGTGCATCATAATTTTCTAAACGATTTATATAGTCCATAACACGTGAACGATCAGCTTTAATTGCTGTTAGAATGAGTAAGTTTTGTAAATTACTACAATTAGAAAGTAACAATAAAAGTTAAAATAAAACCTATGAATGAACGTTTTCCTTTGTCTTACCGATGTTCACTAAATACAGAATTATCAATAACAATTTTTTCTAATAATTCAATTAAATTATTTGGTAGATCAGCTGTCATAAATGCTTTAACTGTAACAGATATTTCTTCTGGATCTTGTGTTTCAGCTAAAGCTGTTTGAATAACTTGATCGATTAATGGTCGTCGATATTGATTATCTTCTCGTAATACAGATTCCCACAATACGGGATCTTTTCGACGGACCAAATATCGTGCTTCACTTTTAAATAAAGAATTTTCATTGCAAACCTAATGAAAAATCAAATAAAATTAATATTGTTTTTTATTTAAAATAAAATTTTTTTTTCGATCTTGCTCAGACAGTACGAATACAAAATAAAATTGATATCATTTTAATTCATAATTTTTTGAATAATCATCACTCCAAGATTTCGATACTTACATTAATAAGTTCCATATCACAACCACCACGCTCATATGCTACGCATGCTAAATGTGGATCACGTTTTTCACAATATTTGCCAACAACACGACTATCATAATGAGGATTTTCACGAAGATATTTTTCTGGATTACTATTTGAGTCAATATAAATTTTAGCTAATGCATTATGAACAGCAGGATCATTGCTTCCATCATGAATACGAGTTTCAAGCCAGGGTAAAAGTAGTTTCATTCTAAATTATAAAGAAGTTTTTCAGCTGTTTCTCTTTGAAATAATTCTGACAAACCGATTTCGTTTTTCAACTTCTTCAACAAGTTCATCAACATTAAAATTGCCTCGCACTGAAAGTATTATTTGTTTTATATGATCTTCACTACAATCAACATCAAGTAAACCACCAACAACGACTGGTAGACGACCTGAATTAACCTTTTTAATAAAAATTCAACGAAAATACATAACATTATTAGCATCAAAAATATGTAATTCATTCGTTATCTTACTCGTTGAACATAAATTTCAATATTTTTCATTAAATTATTTCGATATAAATAAAGAACAAGATCATGAACAAAATTAAAACGATCACAAACGATAATTAATGGTAATTGATCAGTTAGTTTTGCTTCCTTGAGAAAATTTTTAACACGTTCAGCATCATAACAATTGGATTCACGACAAATACGTTCAACTTCTTTGATTTGACCTGTTTTACATGCAGCTTGAATATATTTAAAATGAACATCTGGTTCTTGACTAAAGTTAACAATTGAACCAAGAAAATAAAAAAGACCTAAAAATAAAAACAATTTAAATTCAATAAATATATCTTGAATAGAATCTATTTAGCTAACTAGAACAAGATTCTATCTCGCATATTATCTTGATGACGATACTTCTAGTCACTATGTGATTAGAAGAGGAAAATTTTATGTATTTTTTTAAAAGTATTATTTGTTTGCTGAGAAGATGGACTTTTCTTTTATTTGATCGTACAAGGCCATCGATAGAAATTTGTAATTAATGTGATTTAACCATCAGAATTTCAGTTGCAAATCAAGTTAATTTTTATATTCGGAATCAGCAGAAAAATCTGCCTTAAATGGCATATCTTACTCTTAAACCTAATTTTTGTCAGATTTCAACCTTGTACTGAAGGACAACTCATCGAAATGTTATATAATAGTAGCACGGGTAATCAATCCAAGTATCATAATGCATTAAAAGTACATAGTATACCACCATATCCAGATTTTTATACTTATACGAAATATGATATTTAGTCTAGTTTTTAGTATTTAGCCATGATATCGAAAAACTAGATAGTTTCATAGATGAAATAATATTTTTTCCGTAGAGTATGACTCTTAAAATTAAGAAAAAATGATTTGAATCAATATTGTGATTTTTTTCATATTATTCATTGTATCATAGCAATTATATAAAACTAATAATGTCAGATTTGAGAATCTGTTTTGATTTTAAATACTCATCAGAACTACACTGGAAAATATGTAATCAACATTCCCTTGATAGGGTTATGATATTGCGCACATATATTTATCATCCTTTGAGTTTTAAAATCATCTGTATTATTCAACGAATATTTGTTTTATACGGTAGGTCGATATCTTAAAACTAGAGTACTGATTCCAAGGTTTGAACACATGACTTATGAAATGAATGTCGGACAACTTAACATTTTAACTAAATTAACTTGTTGCTCTTATAGTAACGGATTTATCTTAGAGATACACAAAGAAAAATATAGATTTTGTTTTTGATAAACACTTACCTTCGTAGCTTTTGAATGATTCAAATAATTCAATAAGTTTTGATGTTCCAAGTTGTTCATGATATTTTGTTGCAATTTGTACAACAACTTGTAGATTTTGTCGAATATTAGCTTGTAACATTGCTTTTAAACATTCAATGCAATCATCAACAGATAATCGACCAAAATAATTCACAAGCCACTGTAAATAAATATGAGAAATGTAACTACAAAATTTGAATGAAAGAAAAAAAGAAGCTTACTTCTGGATTTAACAGATGTGTATGTACGACAGCACGTTTAATATCATATAAATCTGTGTAATGTTCAAGTGCACGTTGAAGTAAACCAGCTTTTTCACACAATTGAGCAATGTGTGGTCGATCATAATGTGTAAACATATTATTAGCCAAAATAGCATCGGCAACCTTAATTAGAAAGGAAAAGATAAAGCATAAAATAGAACTTGAATAAAAGTTAAAATTCGTCTATTTTACTTGTGGTGCTTGCATTAAATTCATTTCTAATAAACGCGTCTGTAAGTGTCCTTGATCTTCTCGATTATTTTTTAAAGCATCAAGTAAAAATGCTGTACATGGTTGTATAAGATTTTGTTCGAGAAATACATCAACAACTTGTGTTAAATCCGCTAATGGTTCATTGTCTTGAACAAGTAACTATTAGATAAAATACAACAAATAAATTTGTGATAAAAGTTATAGAAAGATGATTTACTTGTGCAAATTGAACACCTTGTTCAGGATTAATTCGCATTATACTTCGTAAAAGAAAAATGTAGTCAGGTTGATAATTGACTTTTTTAGCATAAAGAACTATTTTTTGATATTGGCCTGTTTCAGCAAAGCATTGAATAACTTTCATTGGTACATTAGCACGTAAGTAAACTGATAATGCTAGTGTTGCATCAATTGTTTTAACAAGATCACCTAATTGTTCACTGCATTCAAGCTAAAAAAAAATGAACTCGCATGTATGTTGTTGATGAATCGTTGTATGATGAAGATAGGCAGTTTAGAACTGAAGCTTTCTTTTCTCATTAACAATAATGATTAGAACAATTACCAGAAAAGTATTTGAAAATCTTCAATTGTATGCTAATAAAATATGTACTTTTTCGAATGTCATGAGAAATTCGAAGTGGATAAGCTCTCGGTCATCAAGATCTCAAACTTAGAATTTTGGATTGCAATAAACGCATTTTTCAATGAAGCTAATTTGATACAGAAAATAATGCTAAACAAAATAACATTTCGCTAAGGTCTTCACGACCTAGCTGACGTAAGCTATATTTATTTCACAAAAGACACTCAAGGGTAAACGACAATAATTTCAATCAAAAAGAGTTTTTTAAGTGTAACATTGAATAATTATCGTTTGCTACATACAGCTCATCTAGAGCCTGGAGTATCGTCTTTAGTTCAGCGATGCTTTTTTCCACTATAAGATCAATTAATGCTCGAAATATTTCAGATAAAGTTCGAAAGAACTCATATTGATGGTCTTGTTTTTTTTTCAAAGATATCTCATGCAAACTTGTTACCGAAAATTTAGAAATAATTTCTCAGAGGAATTTGTTTTCAATGCTTTCATTCAATGTGAAAAATACTTTTGTTTTCTACGCTTTTGTATTTACTTTATCTTCTTTTAGCCATTTTTCTATTAATTGTTTTTTTCCTTGCATTACAACTGGTTTACATAATTCGATCGATTCTTCTTTATTTAGTTTGCTTGATTCTAATAAAATACTAAAATATTGAAGTAATGGTGATGGTTGATTGGGTTGTGCTGGAACAGTTTGAAATTGTTGAATTGTTTGTTGTGTACGAAGGATTCCCTAATAATAAGAATACGATATTTTCATTATATCAATGCTAATATTTGACTTAAAGATACTCGATTATTGTTTGAATGTCTCGAGTTTGTTCCTATACAATATTTAACTTCAAGAATGAGGTTATTGTCAGTATAATCAAGTTTACTTGATTGTCAATAAACATTAGACCAACATGATTGATGTGAAAAGATTAAAACTATACTTAGACGATAGGCTAGATCTTGCGGTAACATTAAAAAAAAATTAGAAAATCGATCTGAATACTGTTTTTTTTTCTTTATCCTAATTATTACACTTTTTCAAGAAGCAAATTTTTAACACTCAAAATCTTTGATACTTAATCGTATTTAGCAGTATAAGCCGTTACTGTATTTGAACAATCTTATACATTCATCAGATAGAGAGAAAAAATAAGCTTCCATTCTTGAGATGTTAGGTTAAGTATTTATGTAATTAGTTCTAGTCAAATTTGACCGTATCATTTATCTACTGTAGAGTCCATGTGTTGTACTTAGTTCATCACACAAATCATACAAGTACATTATCAACATCACAAAACTATTATAAGGCATCATTTTACTGCATGTCCATATGAAAGTTGCATATTATTTCTCGATAAAGAAATTCATTGAATTTCTAGACATTGACAAAATCATCGAGTATCTTCAATTATACGCTATAATGAAAATCACATTTTACCCGTGGAGCTGTAGCAGCAACTTTAGCAGCTTCACCGTAATTTCCACTTTGAAATAATTGTGCAAATCTTGCCAGAAATAATTGATCAGCACCTGGTAAATTGCATCTCGCTGACATTTTATAAGCAAGTTCAGCATTGGCTAATACATTTTGGATATAAGATACGACATTATCTTCATCAACACTAACCGAAAGAACCTTTTAAAGAACAACAAACAAATATCATAATTATGACTTTTAAGAAAACGCAAAGTCTTCGTCTTTTTAATTTTATTTACTTGGCCTTTACGATTAACGGCGATTATGCCAGATGTTGGCTCATACGGTGCTGTCACAAACATGGTATCAGCACTAATACGATTCATATAAATCAATGTTCCACTTTCGATATCAAACATATGTATATAGCCATATTTAGTTACTAAAAAAATAACGCCATGCTTGGATGATGTTTGCATAGCAACAGGAAAATCATTTGGTGCTTCAGCTGGAAACTGAACATCGATGGCTTTCTTTTGAAATGGTTGATTATCGGGTGCTGGTGCGCCAACTTCGATAATATGAAGCTAAATTAGATAATAAAAATAAAAAAATAAAAAAAAATGAATATTCAATTAATTTTACTTTTCCTCCTTGCGGTCCTCGAACAGCGAACGAAAACAGGTTTGATGATTTTTTATTTCCAGTTAATTTAAATTGTGTAAATGCAGCTGCATGTCCTTCAATTGGTTGTGATACTTTACGCTCAACAGAGTATAATTGCATACGGCCAACAACACGACTATCCTGTGCTTGAATACCTAAATTGAAAGAAAAACAATGATCAAGTTAAATGTCTAATCTATGTTGCTGTGATAAGCAGTAATAAATCAATAAATAATTTAATACATCTATCTTTTTATTGTTTTCTTTTTGCTCTTATCTTACCGATAACAAGTAACCATTGTAATGATTCATCAGTTCGATAATTAATTATTTGACAACCTACTAAACTTTGATGACGATCGAACATTTTAACCGGTTGGCTATCACCTTCCATTGTCCAATGATAAACAGATGTTTCAGTTACAATACCAATTGTATTAACGCTAATCCATTTCCAAAAGATACAATCCTCTGTCATATTGTATGTTTTCATTCGACTACGTAGTTCAATATTGAAAATTTGTAATGTTTTAGCAGCTAATTAAATAGAAAATAAGCATTGCTTTTACTAATTGGGAAATAAAATAGTTTGTTTTACCTTTTAATGCTATAACTTTACTTGTTGGATTCATAATGGCTGAATCAGCTGTAATTGGTCGTTTGATAGGGTTGCTTGAATCGGCCATATCAATAATAATAACAAAAGCTGTATCATTAACTTTTTCACGTACGCAAATAAATTTATCGGATTCCATTGTAAGTGAACTAAATCCAATGTTCGTAACGTTGATACCAACATTTTGAAGCTACAAATTAGTATTCAAATTAGATTTTTAGTAAAAGAAAAAACAAAATTTTCTTTACTTGTAAATGTTCTTGAAATTTAATTGGTAATGGTCCGGCCATGCGAATAGTTTATTGAGATCTTAAAGATGAACAAAAATTCAAAAAATAATTTTAATACATATACATAGATGAGAAAAAAAATATGATTTTTTTTCAATATCAATACAGTGACTGTACTCATTCGTATGATTCACACTCAATTACGTACAGGAATAAGCGAGCGTGAAGGTTGTGTGTCGAGAGAAAAATATATCACTAAATTTAGCCTTGTAGAAAAAAAATCATGATTTGTTGTCTCAGGTAGTCTATACTCATTTGTGTTCTTATCTTCTCGTACAACCTACAACAAACAAAATATTCTCGTTTTCGATTGAGAGAGTAAAGACAAGGCGGAGAACAATGCAAACATAAAGCAAGGAATGTGCGGGTGGACGCTACACTCAGAAATAAAAACGAGGAAGAAAGATAGAGATGGATGGTTGTACGCGAGAATGACTCATTCAGCACAGTTTCTTTCTTCTTTTCTTTTTCATCTTCTCAATATGCCTCTAGCTGTAAAAGCAAATAGAATGGCGAAAAAATTGATCAGAGATGAGAAAGAATTTTGATTTGGAAAATCTCATCATGATAAATAAAAAATAGTTAATATAAATATTTAATTAGAATAAATGGCCTTCTTAGATTTGATTTATTTCACAGAGAAGAGACGTATATTTACGACAGCGATATATATCGATTAACCAATCAGAAAAAATATTACATTGGCTCTCGATTCGATTGACACTATGGATTGACACGTTGAACATTTTTCAACATATGATTTGTTTTAAAATATATTGAATGAAAGTCTGTTTCGGCATGAATAATGATCACTTAAGATTTATTTTTATTTAGAACCCATGAGCTATCTATTATTATCGTGAGAAATACTATACTAATTATAATTATAACGGATTTGATAGATGGTGCTCTCTAATAGTGTTACGTCTAAAAGAATATTTTCATATAAAAAGTACCGTGCCAAAGCTGTTTATTATCAATTCAATAAAATATAATAGTATTTGAAAAACACTAAGACATACATTGTTGTGATTGATCTTTTTGATTTTTGTGGTGAAATTCACATGACATTTGTGTCTGTTGTTGATGAAACGAAATTTCTATAGTGGCGTATTCTTCAATTTGAAATAGAAACTGACCTAAAAATTTATCGAAGTTACAGTAAACATGGGGTGGGTGTGGGTGCGAAGAGATGGCCCACATCCATATCCACATACTCACATCAACACCCAAATCCACACCTACACCCACAACTGGGTTTTTGAACAAAAAATTAATAATAAGAAAAATGCCTGTTCTTGCAACCAGAGCCTGCGGAAGTGTGTGTGTGTGGGGGGGGGGGGTTTACCCCCACCCCAAAAATTAAAAATTTAAAATTTTTCAAAGCGACAGGAAAAGATTTTTTGCTAGTTTTGAGCTTTTTTTTGCGAACTTTGTTGCAAACACCCCCTTACACACTCCCAATATTAGGTCCTTCCCGCGGGCTCTGCCTACAACACAATCTGTTGAAACAACAGAAGAAGAAGAAAAAATTGTTGATGTTAAAGATATTAACGATGCTAATTTGATTTGATTTATTTATTTAATAATTTATTTTCATAACATAGAATCAGATTCATTTGATGATGAAGAATCAGGAAAAAATTATGAGGATGAAATATTCAGCTTATTCAATCAGTGGCGTAGGCAGGAGGAGGCATTGGACAATTGCCCAACGAATGTTTCAGATGACGTCATTTGCCCAATGCCAGAAGCTCTGACACGCGTGCTTTTTTGAAGATCACACTGACGTTTTATTAATAAATAGCTGCTTATCGCCATTTAATTAATCCATTTAAAAGGATCGATTAAGATTTGTTTCATTAAAGTAATAAACATAATGATTACATTGCTGTTATATTTTTCGGTCAAGACTCCTTGTTCT